ATTTTACAGAGTTACGGGTGGGATGTTCAACCCTGTGGTAAGTGTCGAGATGTCCCAGCTTACCATGTTTGTGTAACTTACGCAAGATCTTCATAGGTGACTCTCTCCCTCACTGTTTGTGGTGGCCTACCGCTACTGAGAGCTCTTCTCATCATGCCCACTCAAATCATAGCCGGATTATGTGCAGCCGGGGTGGCTTCTGCCATGTTTCCTGGTCCCCTCTCCGTGACCACAGGACTGGGTGGTGGCACAAACACAGCTCAGGGCTTCTTCATCGAGGTCATCTTAACCGCTCAGCTGGTGTTTGTCATCTTGATGTTGGCCGTTGAGAAGCATCGCTCTACCTTCCTTGCCCCTGTGGGCATTGGTCTGTCATTCTTCCTTGCCGAACTCACAGGTAAGCACGACCCATTCTGTCTTCAGGCTGAGCACAGTAGATACTAACATTACGTTCCTCAGGCGTCTACTTCACTGGCGGTTCCCTCAACCCAGCTCGATCTTTTGGACCCGCTGCTGTTGATGGTATTTTCCCCAGCTATCACTGGATATACTGGCTTGGTCCGATCGTTGGATCTCTGATTGCTTGTGGATTCTACCTTTTATTGCGCAACCTTCGATACTATGAGTGCAACCCCGGTCAGGACGATGATGGCCACGAAACGAGCAGCGAGCGCAGCTTCAAACCCTAAGACAAGAACGAAGGCTTCCAGCGAACGATGATCCGTGCCGTAGCACCTCGTAACTGCTACAAGTGGCCGATGTCAGATCAAAAACAGGCGCAAAGGGCGTTAGGTGTCGCTATTCAATGTTATTGAGATTAATTTAGTCTTACCGGAAGAAAACGCGTTCCACAGCATTCCGCTTCAGAAACCCCAAGCTTGAAGCCATAACGTGAGGGGATGTATACTTAAGCTGCGATCAAAGCCTCCAGGCCACTGGAATCAAATGTGAAATTACAACGATGCCACAGACTTGCAGGGAGCTGGCTGAATATTTGCCCACATATGTTTGTGCTGAAAAGATGCCTTAGATAGATTAGGTTTGTGCCTCATAAGGTCATGATACTCTGAACTGCCGGATAAAGTTGAGTAGGGCATTTTGATTAAAAATAGGTAACGCATCTGGATACCGAAGTTTAAGCCATTTGATACTCGCTGCTGCGGTGGCTCAATGATAAAGACACATGGTGTTGTGATCGAGAAAAACTGACCAGGAAAGTTTTACCTTTATCGGATTGAGGTTCTAGCCACGAGCAGCCCACTTACGATAACTTTCAGGGCCAAGGTGGAAACTCTCCTTGGACTTGACAGAGGTAACAATGTATAGGAGCTTGCCTTTTCCCAGTTTCCAAAAGCAGGTGAACGTGTGCCTCGGAAAGTGCTGAAGATAAAAGCTGTCACCTAGAGAGCGAACTTGAAGCCACAGCACCAGCCATTGTCCAAATGCCTCAATTATGCCCAATTTGTGGCGTAATTCGGTCCCAAACCAATCGTTCGTCAATGAATTTGGCAAGGCTCATTTCTGTGGCGAATATTAGCATTGAAGTGGATTAAGTCATAATCACTCGCTGAGAGACGACTGGTCTTGTCGATCTCGACAGTTTCGAGCAGCTCCATGTTACGCAGCAACATGTACGTGGCCACTCACGGGTCAAACCACAATTCAGGGTCCTGTTCCAGAAGGAATTGGTGGAGTCGGACGGCGATCGGGGAAATTCATGTCAGATTCTGTGGCGCAGATTGGATGGCGAACCTGCAGGATGCCGATCAGATAGGGTTGACATACCAGGGTCGACGGGATGGTGTCTTGAAGCACAGGGGTCAGCCGAATCCTTCGCCCCGATGCTGCTGTCAGTAAGGCTTACTGACAGTGGTTATGCCGAATCGAAGAACTTCCACTTGATTTTCACTGCATAATTCTTTCGTTGCTTGCTTTTTGGCGGCTCGATTGAGTTTCTTCGTTTCCTTATGATGGCCCCATTGGCCGGTCACCGATCCGACTCCGATTCGGTCGGTCAAGTCCGCAAAGCTGGGGCCTTGTGGCACATGACTTCTAAGCCATCTCACGAGCGAGATGCACTGCATTCTGTATATGCGACAGTTCTTACCAAACCACACGTGGCTGCGTCACCTGGATTATCCTCAATCATGCCTGTATCGTACACAGTCGAAGCAGTGCAGTGGCGAAAGATGGCCAGGCCCGATTCCTCCGTGCGGCTGTAAGAACGAAAGGGTGAGAGATGCGGTAGTCGTTTATCTGCCATTGACGTTCATTGTCGTTTGCACTGCTCAACCTTGAGCTAGTTGCCCAGATCACACGACTGTGTGCTATCATGGATGTCGACTGCATCACGTTGGTGGCCCATGCTTCAGGCACCGAAATTGCGGTCTTCAACCACCAACCGAGCGTGCTCTATTTTTTCAGCAATGGCTATTTGTAGTCATTTGACCGAGAAGCTATGCTGAGGGCATCCATCGTGGAGTCTACGCCGCCTCTGCCGTAGCTCTTCCCCGACATACCATTGGTTACTTAAAGAGGCAGCCCCTGACCCTAAGTTCTCAACCACCCTCAAGAGCGCCTCGGTCTTCGGCAAAGGACTTGACCCAAAATCGAACTGGCAGCTCCCTGGGGTATGTGAATACTCATGACAAAAAGCTAGTCTCTGCTCTGAGTCCAGGTTTGAGGCCACCGTTCGAGCCGCTTGATAATCGTGCTCTTGAAGCCAGGCTCACGTCAGTCAGGCATCCCACTTAAGACCATTTCATATCAAAGGAAGCAGGTCATTGTATACCATCCTATCTCTATCAATACTATATAAACCTCGCGGAAACATATACGACAGTGCTCAAGACTGTATCATTCTGGTAAGTCCCGAAAAGCATACGCACATACCCAAGCTGGTACGGCCCGCTTCCAAGTACGTCAACCAACTCTCTTAGCCTTTAGATTCATCCAAAACCCAATCCCGAGCTCAAACAAAGAATCTGGCTGGCTGCCGCGCTAGCCGACAGATTTGACGCTGTCAGAGCCGACTTACACAATGGCTTTCCCCGCGGGACTCCCCATCCGAAAGTTAGATCACAATTTCAACAATGGTGAGGGAAGTATTTTGTCTTTTGATCAAATGCGGAGCCTGACCATGGAAAATCCTCTCTGGCGAGAGTTCATCAACAATCGCTTAGCCCTCGAACGCCGTTATGAGCAGCTTCTGCACTTGTACGAAGAAAAGTTTTCGTAAGTCGTGTCTCGTCGAGAAATCTGAGTTGCTCTGACGTAAATCATTGCAGGAACTACTTTGGTGGTTTCATGCCAATCCACTACGGGACCTTGACCAGCAGCACCATGGATCCCGAAACTGTGGTTAAAATAATTCTGACGCTTGAAGAACTTTCGATGTCTGAATCTTCAGAATCATCTGAGAGCCCCTTCACAGATGAGTACGATACTGTGAAGAGGTTGGGTTGGGAGGACATACAAGCAAAGCAGCCTTGCTGGGCGCTTCTATCTGATACGTACGCCGCAGCAACAACCGCGTCTACTAGAGCACCAGGAGTAAGAGCTCACTGAGTCCTACCAAATGTTTCAACGTTAACGTATTTGCTAAGCACAAATCTTCACTGAAATATTCAGACTCTCCGAAGCCCTATGGAAGCAACCCTGCCCTGCTTCACATAGATGGTGTCTCTGATGACGAACTTCGTGATCAACTATTCGTCGCCAGAGAAGCGGGATGCATCGGTATTGTTGTTGAGCTTGTGGAAACCCAATTCAATGGGAGAGTCTTGAATCCTAGTCTTCTCAGCCGGCTGGGCGTCATGTGCGCAGAGTACCAATTACTGTTAGCAGTAGATGAAACTCTGACTGCCATACGTTGCGGTGCACCATTTTGCTTCCAACGGGAGGAGTACTTCGATGTTATCTCCCCCGATCTCGTCTTTTTTGGTAAGGCTACTGGCTCTCAGGGAATCGCCATCGGCTTTGATGGGCAATTTGTCAAAAGATTTGGGCTCTTGGGGAGTTCACGCAGTCGAGCTGTTCGTAAGTGGCAAAAAAACATCCAGAAGCCACTGCCGACTGCAGACCTCATTCAGGCCACGACCACAATAGAGATTGCAGTTCAGGGGAACTTTGTGATGTTGAGTAGAATTATCGGACAGGCTATTCGCGACTTTGTCCTCGATCAGGCAGCAGAACGAGGACATGAGGTGACTCCTCCTGAAATTCTTGGAGGGCTAGAGAGCCTAATCTTTGTCAGGAAGGATATTGCTGGAGAGATGCTGGTCATGGGCGCGAAAACGGCTGGTTCGTGGATACCTTGGGTTAAGTGGCTCCCCAGGCTTGAGAAAGATATGACGAGAAGCGAGGTGCTCGAAGAAATCATTGGTAGGAGTAGCAGATCGGCTCGCGAGGAGCTCTCAAATTTATTGACGAAGCGAGGATCTAAGCCGACTTGGTGTTTCTGGTGTGGAAACCGAACCACAGCGAAGAAAGACGATTGGTGTCGAAGGTGTTGCATCGGCAAGTGTGAGGGGGAGGTGTGTGGGCGTCACTTCTTCCGGCATCATTGTGTTTAAGAACAAGTCACCTCAAGAAGTAGGGTTACCTAGGATCACTATGTTCCTCTTCCTTTCTTAAATGATGGAGAAGATCGAACAGAAAGGGGGCATTGGTCTCTAACAAATGAATCTACTGGATTCTAGTACTTAAAGTGTCTTGGTTAGGCGCACACTGCTCACAGCAATAGGACTTACACCGATAGATGTACTCTCCACATCAGCTCAATTTCAACATGGCCTCACACTCAAGACTAAGCTCATAAGATCTAATAGATCTACTCACCTAACATCCTCGCTTCATCTGCAGAATCGCCAAAAAGGAGAGATTACGATGAAAGGAGGATGGGATGAACAGGTTGTCACAAGCAGTGGAAAGCTTAAAGTGTGTTATGTAAGCAGCGCGAACTCCGATCCAACCCATATCCGATTAGCCAATTGTTCACAATGACGTATGATCTGCCTCAAGGCGTGTCGCATGACCTCGATGTCGATTGCGGGGTTGAAATGACAAACTTGACTAATTACTTCGGTAGCTTTGGACGCTGTCTTTGGTTTTCCCTGAAGAACTCAAGTAATTGGTAGTCTGCCATCTCATGGTGTAGCATCAAACTCTAATTCGGATGCTACGATGCCTTATTCCGACGATCTTCCGCAGACAAGAACCCCTCTGCTGGGCAACAATGGCCAGTCGGAGGCAGCAGCTAGAATAGTATGTTTCCATAGTCTACTGAATGGAAGCTTTGACAGCTAGATGTTCGTGAGCTAACAATAAGGGACAGCGTTCAACTTCACGCAGTGTTAAAAATCAGAGTAGCAGGGCGGTGTCTTTCATCGTCCACATCTTCCGGGGTGGTCTCTTCTCTCCACCAACCTTGACATACGACCCACTACTCTTGCTCCTGAATCATGACGACCAGGACGAAAGAAACAGACTCACTGAGAAATGGAAGGACAACAAGCTGCAAGAGCTTAACTTCGTAGGCGTGGTAGTGAGTTGAGCTTTTGTCTATAGTCCAATGCGCAGTACTACATGTTTTACGGCAGTTGTGACTTGTGGCCACATACGCCGGGCTAACATAGAGACAGTCCGCTCTGCTCGCAAATGTCCTCACATCGACCGGTTCATGGCCAAATCTTCTGCCCCCTGAAACGACCACTCCCTGGCCTGTACGGACCTGCTGGTTCTGCGGTATCGCTTTTGCCCTTGCCAGTGTGTTGACAGCGGCAGACCAGACAATTCGGCTCCATAGAATGGCCGGACATAGGGATGGCTTGGTTCTCATCAGACAGTCTCTGCGCATCCAAGATCGGGTATTGATTGGCACTGAGTGGAAGTACCGCCCTCGCAAAATGCAAGTCTACGCCTGGCAGTTGTCAGTTCTGTTCCTGGCAGGCGCGGTTCTCTGCATGATCTCAGGGATGATCTTCTTGGTTTGGAGCGCTGTTGCCGAAGACATCGGCAGAGGAAAGGGTTTTGATGACAACGGCAAGGTCAGAAGGATCAGATTCCTCATAGTTCTTGACGACACTAACAGTCACTAGGTTGCTGTGATATTCACATCATTCGCCCTAATCACAGCCATCATCTTCGCACTGGGTCAAACAACGCTGTACTACCCGGTACCGAAGGGAGGCGACATTGAAGATAGTGACTGAAATTCTAAGAGACCTCTTGCTCTCGGCACTTACCAAAAGGTGCTTAGCTTGGAACTCAAGCAAGTAGACTGATGTCATCCAAGGTTAAGCCTTCGAGCAACGCGATTACTGAGATAAGATTTATAAATATATTATATATAAACTAAGATTTTAGGGAATAAGGTCATAATTATAAGCCTTCCTCACAAGTACTTTTACGACCACTGTAGTTGAACGTTAAATGTTCATTATGGAGTCATCTACGTCCCACGTAAATTCGTGCCCTACATACCTACTTCAAGCGGCACTCTCCCTCGGTTTCTGTCCCGCAACGGAGTGGTAGAACACATACGAATGGATGCCAGTATTGAGTAGATCCTTTCGTACATCAATCAGGAAAATTTCGACCTCAGGAGCAGACCATCCCAGACCTCGTGTGAGTGGCCCCATCGTGACTCCATGTATGCCGTCGTAGAGAACAGCTTTACAGTATGCTCCAATCATTTTCAGATCTTCTCTCTTTGGCCACTCGCCCACGGGAACCTTTTGAACATCTTGTACTTGATTGATAAAGCCCGCGTCGTCAATACGCTTGGGGTTGACGTCGGCAACATCTGCTTCGATCCCAAACTTCCCGAGGCCTTCCCAAACAAGCTTCATCATCTTAGTGAGGGCATAGTCAGGGGACATTGTGTCATCGTCGCAATTGAAGTTCCACTTCATCTCCTGGAGTTCGATCCAGCCTCCTGGTTTCAAGGCGCTAGGCAACGTTAGATGATATCGAAGTAAGAGTTGGAGAAAAAGATCAATGATGTAACCATACCGAAACGCTTGGGCAAGGAGTTTCTCCCAGTCTTTGATTGCAGCTCCCATGTTTCGAACATGAACGTAATCAAGAGAGTTTTCTGGGTACAACCATTCGGCTTCAGCATCGTCGACGATGAAAGCAACATTAGCTGGGACATATGGAGGTTGAATAGGGCTGAGATCAATTCCCGTAACCTCTGCTTCCGGATATTCGTCACCCACTGTGAACATTAGTCCTTTCCTTTGCGATTCAGCTTCAGGTATGTCAAATGGATCAACTCACTGTCAATTGCCCAAATGCCAGTCCCGGTTCCGACATCCAGGATTTTCTGAGGATTCTCGAGGGGCGCACTGTGCAGTGCCCCGCCGCAGAGTGTGACAACCATGGAGTGCTTCATATCCTCCCTTTCTTGCTCAGCATCGTCGTTAGGAAATGCATATCTGCCTTCTTTGAACTTGTGGTATCTCCTTTTGTTTTCAAAGTTGAAATCACGAATTGTGGATGCCAGCGTAGTTGATGCGTTGGACTCTCTTTCGGACGCGGATTGGTAGCCGTCACTACCATCATCGGTCTCGTCTTGGGCCTCAACAACTGCATTTGGCGACTGAGAAGCCGTGTCTGGTGGTCCCTCTACTGGTGCAGCCCCAGGCGATTGGCCAGAGCTCGTCGAAGTGGCCGTCAAGGCCACAGCCGGAGGTGACTGTGCGGCGGTGGCTGGTGTAGTTGTTGGAGATGCTGCCTCTGCCGCTGGTACAGGGGATCTCGGAGGAGTGCTTGAAATAACCGGTTGATCAGCCATTATATTTTATGAGTCAACGTACGTCCGAGGCAAGTCTTAGAAAACGACTCGACGAAGCAATTTTCAGGTGCTGGGAACTTTAGACGAAGAAGTTGAGGAGAGGGGAAAGTATGACAGGGATGGAACAAGACATGGCATGTTGTCGACCGTGTTGTTTCCCCGCTCGGACTTGGCAAGATATCCAGACGCAGACAGCTTGCTAGGGTTCGAATCCTGCTCCGCGATATCTCCGGGTTGTCATCGAATCACCTTCAAGATCTCTGGTCAAATGTTTGCTCGTTCTACTTGGCGTCTGCAAGATGGACAAAGAATAACGCGGGCTCCGTGTGCCCTCAATCGTGTGTCGTCTTTCCGGAAACGCAGAGGATTAAGAGGTAACTAACATCTGTTTCCATAAAGCCTAAAGTTCGCAGCCAATCGAGAGACTAAAAGGCTACCGATCGAAATGCGAAAGCAGACGGCCAAACAGTTTCGTATAAGACGTAAACGATCGGCGAGGGGCGCATTCTCAATGCTAGTGGCTGAGGCCCTTGAGATACCTTATTCTGGGACAATCTCATTAGCCATTTTAAAATTCTCAGCGTAATACAATTTCCCGGCAGAGTGTGCTTAGTAAAAGAAGGAGAGCTGCGGCACAACGTGTGTCGGAGCAAGTGTCCGGAGCGGTCGGGGGTACCAAAAAGGCTGCATGTGCATAAGAGTACTCAGTCTTTGCGGTTCTAAGAAGCCTAAAGCTGCTTCCCTTTCACTAAATTCATTTTGACTACAATGATGTGAGTGGTCGAAAATCAAATAATGGTAAAATGTTGAGCAATGACGCGTATTTCATGAACAATTCCGTATGACCTATAAGTGCGATGTGTTTACTACACAATGCTATTCACTCGGGCATCACCAGTTTGCAGAGTTTACCTAGGATGGTCTTCTCATTTCGTGATCACACTGTAAGTCTGGAGAGTATTGAATATATGTTTCAAAAGCCATGGTGAAAGATCCAAGTTCAATCTTGCCAGCTATTACCGACTAAGTACTTTGGGTACACTCAAACTCTTTATTAACCCCCTTTCTCGTGGCTGCCATTCAGCTACCTCGCCTAGCTTACAGATAAATGTAGCAGAATGGACTGCCTCCAAGTGTATTAAGCAAGTCACTAATAGGCCTGTTGGGTGCGTTCGGTTCTTGGATTACGAGATCGTCAAGGCGAGCGTCACGGCTGGGAGGCGTATTTAGGATCGTGATTGTTCCGGCAATATTGAAGGCTTCTCCGAGGTGAAGCGCCTGCCACAGCCAGTAAACTCGGTCGACCATCGCGTGGTGAAGAAAGAAAGTCGGGTCATTAGTCGACGAGAACAGGTCAGAAGCTTCACCGTTGACAATGAAGTGTCCGGAAGTGTGTGTCCCTGCTTATTGTCAGGAACTCTGCTTGCTTGAAGTGGGTTGACGAGAGCTTACCCAGAAATCCATCTCCAAAGCGGCCCTGGAGTTCGTTCTGGAACGTCAAAATGTTCTCTGCCGCAGCGCCCACAGTGAGGTTCAACACATTCTCAGGAGTCATCCAATGCTGAGATGTCCAAGCGCTGATGTCTCTGGAGAGACAACGAGGATTATAGGCCAGAGGGCCGCCGGGATTGACCGCCAGACCATCGATGCCAGGGCTGACAGGGCCAAGATGAACGGTCATGCTGGAGAAAATAGTCAATCTTGTGTTTCTTTCTTTTGGTCCAGAAGGAGGCTTACTTGGCGAAAGGGCCGCTTGTGACACAACCACCTCCCTCACCAGAGGGGATGTAAACACCACCACCCGACGTGCTGCCGTTGTGATATTTGAAGACACCGTTGCCACTCATGCTAGTCTCGCTGCCATCAAACATTGGCGACTTGGAAGGATCCTCTCGGTAGGAAAGCCAGTTCCAGTACTAGCACACACATCGTTAGCCGCTGCAATTCCGAGTGCCATCCAACGCCATCTACTCACCGGTTGATAACCATGGTAACCACATTCCTGCCTCAAAGCATTCTCGTAGGCCCACGTAAAGTAACGATGCCATGTGAGGAAATTACCGGTCCCGTGGATGCTCAAAGTCTGGTTGATATGAACAGCAACAAAGTCGTCATATCGGCTGCGAGCGCCGGGGGCGAAATCCGTAAGCTTGGAAGGCTTCGTCAATAGGCAATTGACGGCGCTGGTGTAAGCCTTCTTTTCAGATCCGGAGAGCGAGTTCCTGTTGATGTTATCAGTGAATGGCCCTTGGTTGCGGTTGGACAATTACGTACCAGTCCCGGCGAACACGCGCGTTGAAGAGGGTGCATGAGTCTCTCTTGCCAAAAGTATTGTTTCCCTCGGCCGCCTGAAGAGCTTCGATAGCCTGAGCCTGGACCTCCGACAATTCGTCGCCTTCAAAGGCGAGAGCAGTCGCTCCGTAGAGACTCAGCGCCGCGAAGAGGTTGAGGAAACGCATTGCGATGCGGTCGGCGGCTTTCCTGACGTAGAGAGCTGGGGTGCGAACTTTGGTGAAATTGAGAGCACTAGGCAATCGGAGAGAACAGGCAATGGCGATGGATACCGTGGCAACTCTTATTTATCTTTATCTTCAATTCCAGCCGACTGGCGACCTTCTGTTATCCATGTCAAAATAGCGCCGGCGCACTGGGATGACAACGGCACGCTTCCGAGAAGTTTTGAAGAGGCACATCGGCCGGGAGGCGAAAAAGTCGACAGGCCTGATGCCCAGACGGTATTGATTCAGTGGTGGATGTGTTGACTCCAATATGAAGAAGTGTCTTTAACCCTGACCATGTCCGCATGGTGGACAAATCGTTGGTTGGCTGTTGTGGACCTTTTCCGAGGTCGTGACATGCTGCACTTCAAATGAACCGGCGTGGATCGAACTAGAACCCCAGACATGCTGGTAACAGCGTTGCATTGCTGGTCAGCGCTAATGACAGCAGGTAAGCGACAGCGTCGACTAACTCATAACAGTATCGGCTGAATCATGAACGGCCCCTCCTCTTTGGAGTCTTTCCCTTCTCAAATGACCATTCTCAACTTCGAGTTCCCAGAACTCTATTGTTAATATTATGCCAAATTTATTGCCGTACGATTCTGCTCCGGTACTTCGGGTTTTCGAATGGGGCCCCGGCATCAGGACCGGCTCGGACAAGTTTCTGCATCGGGTGTATACGATGATTCAAAGACCTTGGCATCCCACAACGCTGCGTTCCACCCTTGTCCATCTCATGCCGGAACCATGACTAGTCTCGCTTTTTCAGAGCCGATTTAACCGACATTTTCGAAGAGGTAAAAAGAGTCAGCAGAGAGCCAAAGTCTTTTAACTACCTTATTTCAGGAAGTGAGTTCCCTAGAGAGAATGCCGCTTATTTTCTCGTATCATTTTGAAGTCGGAATGCGAAGAG